ATTTCTTCTATACTAGTGTAATGACAGGATGTTTTTTGTTACTGTGAATAGTTCTTATTTAATAAAATAACTTGCTGTTAACATTTTAGAATTAGCAAATATCAAATAAAAAAATGATTTTAAAAAATTTATAAATTTTTTTTTATCGATGTAATGTTATGACAGGATGCTTTATTCTGTTAGAAGTTAATTAAAAAACTTGCTGTTACCATTTTAGCATTAAAATATATTAATCTTTTTTAATTAAAATTTTAAATTCTGTTAAAATTATTATTTTAGACTGTTTTTAATCTTATACATACAAATCAAAATTCTTATAAACATTAACTTTCTTAAAACATTTTAAGAAAGATCATTGAACATAGAATGATCAAAAACCAAATTGAACAAATATAGATCACAAAAATTTGTGAAGCAATGTTATCAAAGATATGCTTAACATTGTAAAATATAAAAATCTAAAAAAAAGTTTTGAAGGCAATAGTTTCAAAGTTATCTTAAATGTGTTAAAGAAAAAAAAAAAAAAAAATTTTTTTTGAGAAAATAAGTGGGGCATGGTCCCCGGTGCCCCAGCCCCATGGACCTTCTGGTCATCTGACCTGCAACAATTTTAACGCATCTTCATCAGGACTGCACAAATGCTGAAAGTTTCAAAGCTCCCGCTTGTATGGAAGATACTGAAAAATCTATCTCAAAATTCCAGTCAAAAAAGTGGGGCACATCCCTCCAGCCCCCTCCCCTAGTGTCTTGGGCCCTTTTTTAATTTTAAAATGCACATTTATTGACACTACATAAATACCAAAATTTTCATCATTCCAGCTAGTCTGACAGGTAGTGAAAAATGTATGGCAAGATTCCGCTACAAAATAGTGGGGCCTGTGCCCCGTTAACCATATATGGAAATCTATATACTTGCAGATCAAAATTTTTATGTTTTCTGAAAGATCATTAAACATAAAATAATGTGTACAATTTTTTTTTTATATCATCAAGACCACATGGCTTTCTTGAGCATCAAAATCAGGTATATAGAAAATTGCCTAAATTTATTTAAATTGATAATTACAGGTATTTAAAAATATTTTTTTACATTTCTGATTATTTCATTGGATTCTTCAACCCTGAAAATAACTAGGTACAAATTTTTAAGTCAAAAGATTAAATATTTTTAAAGCTATGTGACTTGGAACCTTTAAACAAAGGTCAAATTTCTGAGAGGACAAGAGGGGCCTGGCCAAGATCAGTTAAAAGTAAAATGATCATATTTCATGATCCTCTTGGACCTAGAAGCTAAAATTTTCAAGGATTTTTTGTTTTACTAAGTACTCTCAACTGTATAAAAATCAGCAAAAATCTGAGATGTATGGTGACATTTTTGAAATTTTCTGGCTCAATTGACATGGAATTACCCTTTGGTCAGTTTGTGTGATATTTATTTTCTTTCATTTTGAATCCTTTTTAAGGCATGTAAACATTTTCTTATGGCTGCTTGAGTTACATTTAACTATTATGCAAGTTTCTTTTCTGTTTAAGCCAAGTTTTATTTCAACAATGTCTACAATTATTTTTAAAAGTTTAAAATTTTTGGCTGTTCTTTAATGCTGACATCATTTAAACACTTTTGGTTTAAACCAACTTTCACAATTTATTGAGTTATTGTATGTTGACCAAAAGTTTTTTGAAGAAACAAAAACTCTCTGTATGTTTCTTTTGATTAAAGCAAAAACATTTGTTTAAGGCATATTAGTTGCTTTTTACAAATGCTGTTTTTATTGGCACAAAATTTAACATATTTAAACACAATAAAATGTTGTTTACACTTTGCAAATAATGAGATAATATATTTTAATGCGGAATATCAATACTTTCAAATGATATATAATTCGTTAATTTAAACAATGTTTAGTACAAAAATTACATCATCATTTAGAAAATCCAAAAAAAGTTAAACATCTAAAATATTATTTGATTTTTTTTTTAATTATTTGATCAAAAGAGTAAGTACTCTATAGTACTATAAGATGCAACAAAAAAAAATAACTTAAACAATCTAATGGTGGATAGTAAGCAACCAGGGTTTGATAAAATATAACCAGAACCATGTTTGTGACCGGCGCTGCATTAGCATTTATACATCCACTATCCATTATACATAAAGTATACTTTTTTTATTCAAAATTCATGTAATATTTTATCTATATATATACAAATATATATATACAAATATATATATATATATATATATATATATATATATATATATATATATATATATATATATATATATATGTATATATATATATATATATATATATATATATATATATATATATATATATATATATATATATATATATATATATATATATATAACATCATTATGATCATCATCATCATTATCTGATTATCTTCTCTTTCGGCAAATACTACACCATATAAATACTAAAGTTTATATAAATATGAAAGGATATTGTATGCCAGCATCTAAATAAATAGCAAACATATATGTTTATATCCATAATATGTATGCATAAACCGCATCTCAGAAGCTTTATTCTTTCTGGACTAAAGGTTAGGAAGCTTTTAATCCTACTCTTCAATTTTAATTCAAGCCTCATTCTAATCAACATTTTTCACCATCTTGAGCAGCTGCCTTATTAATATTAATAATGCAGTTGCTCAAGCTGCTTATGGATTTATATTCTGGAGTTAAAATCCACAATTTTTGTTAGACAGCAAAATCATTTACTGCAAAAAAATATTGCACAAATGTTGGCTTTTCTATATGGATGAATAATAACCCTCTTACTGAGGATTGTTTTTTATCCATATAGGAATGTTAACATTATTGCAACACTCTAACCCTCTTTACTTTGTCTGAGACAAAGTCTAAAAGTACAAAGTACAAAAGTACAAAGTACAAAAGCACATTGTAAATATAACTAGATCTACTTTAAGTTTGAGCCACTCTTCCATTGTAGTAAGATCATATTTTTTTCTTTTTTCTACAAATACTATCATGCTCAATGCTCAAACGAGCTGTTATCTCTATTACGATAAACCAAAACTCATTCTTGCTTGGCTTCTTTTTCAACAAGTTGCATCCTTTTACTGTATCTGTCCCTTAATGCTTTAAAAACTTTTATTAATTCAGTTTTTTTCCTTGCACATCAAAAAAACCTAATAACTCTTACTCATCTTCATTTTTTCCTTATTTATACAAACTACAACTTTTTTAAGTCTTCAGTTAACTATTTCCTAGTATATTAACTTATTCTCTATTTTAAAGTAACTCATAACTTAATAGTGGTTGCTTGCAATTTTGTTGGAAGTAAATTAGAACTTGAAAATATAAATACAAGCCAGTATTTAATAAATAGTAAATGTAAGCATAAAATTATAATATTTAAAAGTTTTATAATTTTTTTTCTAGTACCGGCTATCAACCCCTACTAAATCTCATAGTTTTGCCAGGACTGAAATTGAAAAAAAGTCTGAATTTTAGCTGAGTTCAGGGCCCTGAACAGTTACTAATGGTGAATCGAACCCTTCAATCCAATTAAGTTTAAAATAGAGGATGTTACAAGTAGTTTAAAAAAAAAAGACTAGGATCAACAAAAATGATCTAAGCTCTGAAATTACTCCGACAACAACATCAAAAAAAGAGTTCCAAAGCATTGATGTAGGCGGGAAAAACTAGATGAATAAAAGTTTTTAGAGCATGAAGGAACAGATACAGTAAAAGGATGTAACCTTACTGAATGACGACTCAAACAATAATGACTTTAGGTTGACAAGTCAAACAAGAATGATTTTAGATTGATATAATAGCTTGTTTGAGTAGCCCCAATGATAGCGTTTGCAGAAAGAGATACAACCTTTTTAGGATCAGACAGTAGCTAAAGCTTGGCAAAATAGAAAAGCATTGTTAGAAGAACCAGCTCAAATATGACAATAGCATTCCATACAGAGACAAATAAGAGATTTGTAGTGGTAGAAGATGAAATTAAGAGTAAGGAAATGGATTGCACAATAAACTACCTCAGCAGATGGATTGCAAAAATGGATTGTCTATATGGTTTCTATGAGAGGTTAGTAATAAATGAGAATCCAAAAAGACATACAAATAGAGGACTCAATGAAAGGGTTCCCATTCATTAATATAAAAATGTCAATAATATTGCAATAGATGTTTGCAGTTAATAACTATGTTTTGTTGGAGTTAAAATTCATAAACCGCTGCAAGCCCCAAACTGTATCAGAAGTGAGTTCAGAATCAAGATCTGGTGTCTGTTCTAAGTCATCGAAAAGTGATGAAATAACAGAAGCATAAAGTTAAGTCATCAGTAGAGTTACTTTAGATGTAGTATTGTCAGGGAGATCATTTAAGTAAATAAGAAACAATACAAAACAATGTTACTGGGAATGAAGAGGATTATTATTAAAGAAGAGTATTTTACATGAATCAAAAAATAAATACTCATGGAGTTGCTTATCCCACACTAATACTTCTAGAATTCAAAAATCATGGCACACATTGAGCAGTTATACATAAGACTAAAAACTTGCAACATTTTGAATCTTTAAAAAATATCTATATAATACTAGAGAGAACTGCAACAATAGATTAATTAAAAACAAATTAAAAATAGAAAGAAAATCTTATTTATACTTTTAACAAGATGTTCTGAATTCAAAATTATTACAAAAGTTAGAAAAATTGGATTTGAAGTTACTTTTTTAACAAAATAAATGTGTTACTTTGACACTATACATGTGTTATAACATGATTATCACTGATAAGTGATTTAACAGGCAAAATAATTATCACACTTTGGCATTATAAACTTTTCTATAAATTATTAACCATAAACTATCAGATTTTATTTAAGTTATCAGTAGAAAACTTACAAATACCTGAAATCTTAATCTTACTTAATATAAACTTTTATAACCTTAAAAGACTTTGCATATATAGTAATAAACTGTATAGAACATACCAGGAAAATCCTTTTGTTGTTTTAAGTTGCAATCTTCCATTAAACTGATCAACTTTTAGTCTATGAAAACGAACTATATCTCCAACTTGAACATCAGGCAACGTATTTCCTTTACCAAATAAATTGCAACGAACACCACTTTGTAAATTATTTTCAATTGATGGATCAATTATAGTGTATTGAGCATTGTAATCTCCTGTTTTTTCAACAACTATTGGTGGTCGAAAATATTTGACTATTCCAAATATATTAGCACTTTGTAAACTGACATTCAAATCTGCAACATTAGTATACTCGTATAATTTTTTCGGCATTTAAAGCTAACCTAGAAAAAATTAATTGATGAATGCTATAACTAATATTTGATGAAAAAATTACATTAATTAAGATAATAAGTTTCTCAAAAATTTAATATTACCAGGATTTTAAAAAATTCAAAACCTTAAAGAATTTTAATGTAAAAAAATCTTTAGAAATCCCAAAATAAAAGTATTTAAAATTTATATATAATAATAATATTATTATATATAAATTTTAATATTAATATTATATATAAATTTTAAATACTTTTATTTTGGGATTTCTAAAGATTTTTTTACGTTAAAATTCTTTAAGGTTTTGAATTTTTTAAAATCCTGGTAATATTAAATTTTATTAATAAATTATTAGTATTAAATTAGTCTTAAATTTTATTTCAATGAAAACAAAAGAATTTTACATTTTTACAATTTTGAATTGTGAAAAACCATATTATTAATATGGTTTTTATAACCATATTATTAATATGGTTTTTATAACCATATTATTAATATGGTTTTTCACAATTCAAAATTGTAAAAATGTAAAATTCTTTTGTTTTCATTGAAATAAAATTTAAGAGATAGTTGAGTGATATATCTAAAAATGTGTTTAACATATTTTATAACAGGTAAATATTTTTATTACTAATAATTTGTTACTAATAATTTGTGTGTATCTAGCTTACAAACGTATTCTTATATCAAAGAAAAAATATATTAAAAATTTGATAAATTTAATTTTAAATTTTAGGCTTATAATACTTTTTTTATTATTTTTGTAATTATTTATTTTTATATCCCTTAGTTATTATTTGTCTATCAAATATTCAAAATGATTAAAACCACATTAAAAAATACTTTCTTAAAATTAATCAGAGAACTTATCAGCTCAGGAAAATTTTAAGCATAACACAAGTTGTGAGTTTTTAGCACATTTATTTGAAATATTAAAAACCCTTAAATATTTTTGGATTTAGAAAAACACCATGAATTCAAAATCATCTTTTATAAAAATGCAGAATTCAAAAAATATATAAAAAAATGATTTCTAGAATATTAAAAGTCTTAAATTTTTAGATGATTGAATTCTACAAGGAGCTTCAATGTTTATTTCAGTATTACAAATGTTATCAAAATAAAATGAAAAAGACAATCAGTTAGCAAATAAATCTTTAGAAGATAGTATAAGCTGCCAAACATAAACTGGTGAATAATTCAATCATTTGGTGCAATATTTTACTTGGTTTTTTTTAAGGTTTTAAGTAAAATTTTAAGTTCTGTGAAAAGTTTTGGGTTAACCAAAATGGCGATGGTTTTTAAAACTGGCTTCAAAAAAGCCACGTGACATGTCTTTGTTTAAAGCTCCTTGTATTTCTAAATAAAAACAATATTTTAAAATGTTTTTAAAAAGATGGTGAATATTAGTATTTTAAGTGTAATTTTTTAAACTTTAGCATTAAATAAGAGCATTTTCTTTTTATGTTTTTATGTTTTTAGATGGTTCTGAATCATTATAATGCATTCATAACAAAAACTAGCTTGCTGAAAGTTTTTTTGTTTTCAGAGAGTCAAACGGGCAACGTGAAAAAGATTTAAAGTGAAACACACATATGATAAATTTTTAAAAGAAGTAACAGGCTTTTTGTTAAATAGAGTTTTACTTCTAACGAAAAAAAAAAAGACAAATTTACTCTTAAATTTGTCTTTTTTTTTTGTTAGAAAATTCATTTTTTATTAAGTCGGTTGAATAGAGTTTTTCTAAGTTTTCTCATTCTTAAGTTTAAAACAAGGTCTTTGTCTGTTAAAGATTTCTTTGAAGACCAAATGAAAGAAAACTTTTAACATTTTGTTTCAATTATTTGAATCTCGTTTTTATTTGACTATTAAAATTGTCCAGTGCAACATTAAACACATTACATTCAAAGCTTTTGAATGCTTCTCTGTGGTATTAGCCCTCAGTTTAGTCAGGAAGGATTGTTCTTTTTCATATTCGCTTATTGACAGACATGATTTCAGGAGCTAATTATTCAACAGCGAACCACCACATAGGTTAGGGTTAGGGTTCAAATAAGTTTTTGCACACTTCAAATATTTTATTCATAGTTTAATTTTAAAATGATAAAAAGAAACCTCTGACTAATGTAAACATATTTTTAAAAGGTCTATTGACAACCCCTAGCAAATATTCAGGCAATGTGGCAATCAGGCAAATAATCAGGCAAACCAGCAAATAATTAGGCAGCGATCCCTATTGGAATTGCAACCCACAGATTGGGAACCACTGTTAATTAACCACTTAATTACAATTACTATGTTCATTTTGAACATATTATGCTTAAAATAAATATAACAAAAATAACAATATAATATTAAAGCTAAGTAATTCAATATCAGTACACAATATTTTAAAAAAGAAGCAATTGAAAATTAATATTTTTTAATAATTACTCTCAATTCTCTTATAAGCAGTGAAGAGAGAGGGAGGGAGATAAGAATCTCTAGTGTAGAAAATAAAAAAAGGTCTAATTAACTGTGTAAGGTAGTTACATTGAAAATGTAATTAAGAGTTGAGTAGTTGTCTCTTTCTTGTTAACTAGATATCTATCGTTTCCTACATATTTAAGGTTTGAGTAGTAAAGGAGGTGAAACTGCACTGTGCTTAAATGGCATTGTGATTGAATAAATGCTGTACCAAAATGTTAATTAAAAAAAAAAGAATAGAATAAATAATGGCAATAAAAGTAATATTAACGATTCGTTAATTATTAAAAAAACTTATATTACTCTTTACTATTTATGAATTTATATTTTATGATTGTTACTAATATATAATTAAGCAGGTGCAGATCCAGCTTTTTTAAGTCTTTGAGTTAACTTCCAGACATGGAGCAAATTCCAAACATTTGTTTGTTTGAGGTCAGTCAGAAAAAATAAGGTTTTAAGTTCAATATAAATCAATTGAGAATTAGTCATCATTTTGAAAGAATTTAATATTTAATTTTTAATAATTTTAAGAATTAATACACTTGTTCATAACAATTTTTTGTTGAAATGAAAATATACTTGAACTTAACTTTTTAATTTTTCTTCTTTGTGTATATGACAAAAAATAACTTATCTATATTCATTTTTAAAAATTTCTTTTCTTTAAAACCAATAAATAAGAAATAATGATTTTATATTCCAACCCTTTTGTCAAATTAAGTTCAATCAAAATAAAATTGTTTTGTCCAATTATGATATGCCTTATACTTTTCCTATATCTTTTCCTATATCAAAAACTTATATTGTTACCCTGAAATTGATCAGGGTACAATATAAGTTTTTGCTGTCTTATAACATTTGTCCAAAGTATAATGATATATAACAACATTTGTAAATACACCAAGGTATAAAAATATCTGTCCAACAACATCTGAAATTTCATTGATGTCTAATAATATTTGTGTAAAAAAAATATATAATTACTACAGATGTAGTTACATCAGATAAATTATCTAAGTATAACAACATCTGTGAAACTACATCTGGAGATTTTACAGATGTAATTACATCTTTTTAATTAAGTTAAGAATAACTATATCTGTACAACTACATCTGTGAATTCTACAAATGTAGTTACATTTTTTCAATTATATTTAATATAACTAAAGGATTTTATGAAACTATTAAATTATAATGCATTATATTAACTAGATGTAGTTTCATATATAGTTTTTTTAGATGTAGATACATCCGAAAAAATATATTAGTCTGGAGTAAATTCTTTCAGATGTTATTGGACTTGGAGAAAAATTACCAGATGTAGATACATCTTTTTGATGTATCTAGATCTGATAGATGTATCTACATCTGGTAATTTTCCATTATCCACTGTCCATTATCATAATGGACACATGTTGTTGGAGTAAATATTAAAATAAAGAAATAAATTTTGGACAAAAGTGTACAGATGATTTTGGATTACTCTACAGATGTTGTTGGGCAGATGTAGTAACCTTTTACCTTAAATATAAACAGAAAAATTTAAATCTTTCAATAGATAATGTAACCAAGTACTTTTAATTGTAACTATGTATTTTGTTTAGAACTTTGATTGTTAGGGTGACCAGATTGTTAGGTTTTCCGGGATTGTCCCAGTTTTGAGTGCACTGTCCCGGCGTCCCGAAAAAGGTCATCTTATCGGCAAATTTTTTGAAGCTATTTTGGCCTCCCAAGATGGCGGCGTATTTGGTTGATTACTAATTTAGAAATTTTTGTTACGAACTTTTTATATATATATATATATATATATATATATATATATATATATATATATATATATATATATATATATATATATATATATATATATATATATATATATATATATATATATATATATATATATATATATATATATATATATATATATATATATATATATATATATATATATATATATATATATATATATATTTAAATAAAGGTACAAGCCTCAAACAAAAACAGGTTTTTCGGTTTTACATAGCAACTTATTTTAGAAAGAAACACATTATTACATATTTACGTAAATTTCTTAAATATACAGCATTAGACAAAACATTTGCAACCAACATCGAGTAATGCTAAAAAGTGTTCCTAATTTTACATGTCTTAAAAACGAAACGAACTGTACTACCACAGCAAACAGTTCAGGCAAGGCCGGCACGATAGGGGGGTGTGGGAGGTGTGACCCCCCCTCCCCCATCAATGACTTTTAGTCGGCAAACTGGACCCTTACTCGGCAAATTGGACCCTTAGTCGGCAAACTGGACCGGTTTAGACTAGTCAGTCGGCAAATGTTGACCCTTTCGATATAGGTTAGACAGTCGGTAAATGTCGTCATGACAGTCGGCAAATTTTGGAAAACGAGGACCTTTTTTTTTTTTTATTTTGTTAGTCGGCAAAAGTTGTAATGGCACCCCCCACGTGACACCTACTCGCGCCGGCCCTGAGTTCAGGAGTCTGGAGTCATTGCATGCCATGACATGAGCAATCAGCTGACAGGTGACAGCACACAGGCAGAATTTCGTTGACAAGTGCCATTTTGCAGCGTACAAAACAAGTGCAATTTTTTTTGGTTTGTTTCATTTTCTTAAATCTGGAAGTATACAGAAGTTACCAGAAGTTTCCAGAAGCATGCAGAAGCTTCCAGAAGTTTCCAGAAGAAGCATCTGGAAGCATCTACAAGCATCCAGAAGTATCCAGAATTATTCAGAAGCATTCAGACGCATCCAGAAGCTTCCAGAAGCATCAAAAAGAAGCATCTAGGATCTTCCAGATCAGGTTCACACAGGTTCATTTTACTATATAAGAGACATGTAAACCGACATGTAATTCAGTCAGTATATAGAAGTCAATCAGCCAGTATTATCAAGACAGTTTATCGAAGTGAGTTTTGTCAAAGTGTTTTATCGAAGAACATCAATACAAGAAGTGAAATACAACAAGTGTTTCATTACATCAATACAGTCCACATCCGACCAGGACGTTGTGTTCCACAGAGAATTATTGTATCATCACAAGGTAAATGTAACACTGTAAGCCTTGAGAAGCGTGATTATTTATTTTTATTATTTTTATGACTTCAAGTGCAAAAATGGCTCCCGACAGTCTTGGATTGGAACTAAGAAAGAAAATTATTGGCGAATACGTAAGTGGAATGTCACAAAAAAGTATTTGTGATAAATATCGCGTGAAAAAATGGACCGTATCAAGACTATGTTCCAAATATCGTTCTACGGGGATGTTGGCAGCAGATAACAAATGTGGAAGACCGCGTTCCACTACTTCTAAAGAGAATTCTATGATCGTCAAATCCGTCAAGAAGGATCCCTGGATATCATCAGTCAAGATACAAAAGCAATTAGAGCTGCTTGTATCGGACCGAACAATCAGACGATGTGCTGTTGAAGCCGGGTTGTTTTATCGACGCCCTGCAAAGAAACCGCTGATTTCACTAAAGAACCAGATGAAAAGACTCCTGTTTGCTACAAAAAAAGTTGTTTTTTCTTATCTAACCTAATATATATATATATATATATATATATATATATATATATATATATATATATATGTATATATATATATATATATATGTATAATATATATATATATATATATATATATATATATATATATATATATATATATATATATATATATATATATATATATATATATATATATATATATATATATATATATTATATTTTTACAAATCCGGCCCAAATCCGGCTCCGGCAAAATGTTAGCAAATCCGGCATAATTTTGGCCGGATTTCTGGATGTTTATTACATCTTTCTTACCCGTGATAACATGTATACGTAATACTTAATTTTTGAACTTCATGTTTGTTTTGGTATCTGTATTTACATTTTTTTACAATTTAATTAGCTAAGCCTAATTTCAAACAAGAACGCAACAAAAAATTCTGAAGAGAAGACACACGATATTCTGCAATAATGCAGGTGTAAAGACTATGAAGTCAATCCTAATCAACTCATTAGATGAGCGTTTCAAAGGCATTGAGGAGAAACCTTTTTAGATTGAAAAAAATAAAGAAAATCCAGCAAAACAATCCCGGCTGGATAATTCTTATACATTATCATTATTACAATGGCAATATATATAGATGAAATTATTCAGTCTACGCCCGCTTGTGGCACAGCACATGAACAACAATTACCAACAGGCATTGACACTCAGCTAAGCCAATATCTGAAAGAATCAGAAATATATAGACACGCTGATTCACTACAGTGGCGGAATGACAACATCCCGGGAAAAAAAGTTCTGTAGAGTTTTTCTAAATTTTTGAAACATATGGCCTATAGAAACTCTATAAAATTTATATAAAATGTCTATTAATTTCTATAGAAATTGCTATAAAACTTTTAAACAACAAAAATGATGTTTAATAGAAAACAACCCGACGGGCATTTGTTTTTAAAAGTTACGTTCTGAATGTGTTTTAAATGTCTTTTAAACGTCTTTTAAACATTAATGTTTAAAAGACGTTTAAAAGACATTTAAAATACATTTAGATCGTAACTTTTAAAAAGAAATGCCCGTCGGGAACTGTCACTTGGTGATCTAAATAGTCAACATTGTTGACCATTTTCAACACCAAGTATATACAGGATTTTGATATACAGGATTTTGGTTCCTGTAGTTTTGCTTCGAAATCCGGCTCCGGCTCCGATTCCGGCCGGATCTGTTAGTAAAAATCCGGCAAATCCGGCTCCGGCCGGATTTGGAAAAATTAAATCCGGTACAGCCCTAATAATATATATATATATATATATATATATATATATATATATATATATATATATATATATATATATATATATATATATATATATATATTAGGGTGCATCACCAAATTTTTTTTTTAATTTTTGAGTTGTCTGGTATGTACTTGTGTTCTAATAGTGGAAAGATACACTGTGGTAAAAAAAAAGAATTAAAATTGCTCAATATTTAAAGGTCCCACCAGCCCGTACAAGTTTCACATATGTTAATTTAAATTAGGCTCCCCATATTTTTTTTGCATTAGATCTTTGACATTATTCATAGTCTTTGGTAGTCATGTTTAATTTTTTCAAGATTGTTTTATGATAGTCTGCCATTCAGAAGTTATATAAATAATTTAGAAGTTATATAAATAATCATGATTTATTAACAATCATCTTTACAGATTGGTTAATATACATTATTATTCACAATTTACACTGTTTGCTCTATTATTTGTAATTTTTATAAAAAAATTAAGAAACTAAAATTGCTTATGTGTAGTGTGTATAGTGTTTAAAATATTATCAGTAAATATATAGAATTATAAATGTGGCACATAGGATAGTATAGCATATTATAGAATAAAGCATAGCCAATGTCAGCAATATAATTAGTTTCTAAATTTTATTTAAAATATAAGTTTTGAAGTTTGTTTTTTTTTTAATCCTCCTGTATTTCGTTAACCCGGAGGAGATTTTTAATAAAATCTGATGTGTGTTCAAACTCAAGTCCACTAGCCTAGGTGATGTAATATTGAAGTAGTTTGGAATTATTTTGAATCTAGAAGAGTACAGTGTTTTTTGCAAGCTTTTCTCTTTTTTCCAGAACCATCATCACTTAGTAAAACTGTATCTGTTGTGCCAAGTCCTTAAAACACAATTCTTTTCTCAGCTTCTAAAAAAAAGCCACAGACTCGTCAAGCTACCGAGTTGTTTGGGATCACCCATGCTATATGCGCGGATGATGGAACAACCACAGGTATTCGGCTGCCAACTTGCTTAAAAGTTTTAAGAAGCATGATGTCTAGGATCAACTGGTGCACCATCAAGATTTACATCAGAAAAAATAGTGCTGAAAGAAATTGCATCGCTGTATGGAAAAGCCTGAAAGAAGAGCATTTTAGAAATTACTGAAAGAAGAGCATGTTAGAAAATAATCAAACTCTTAGATGATAACAACAAACCTCGTTCAATCGAAAAGACCCGTCGTGACACACCGAACACCAAAAAAAAACTGAAAGATATGCAATCCATGTTGGCATCAACATTCCAGCTCTAGCCGCCTAATGTTGAAAGTTTTGTCAAGAATCCAAAGGATTTTGTATTCCTCCAGTCAATGAAAGGGGATAAAGCTGCTAGCTTTGGTGCATTTGACAAGGCACTTGCCCAGAAGATAGCCAGGCGCCATGATCTCAATGTTGCAGCAGCAAAGCGTCTGAAGTATGCTCGTAATGAAATTGAAACATTAAAACTGCCTGTATCATAAGAAGTTTTGACTGAATCAGAAGACAGCAATGCTGACGAATCAAAAGAGTCTGCCTATGAAGATATGGATTTGGAAGCTGACTCTGAATCAACAGATAAAGCACCATCTAAAAGAAAACCAACAGGAACAATGGCCTTTATACCTCCAAACTTGCCGACCAAATCTAGTGTCATTGGCAACAAGACTTAAAATGACACCAACACAGCAAGCTGCATTCGCCCAGGGATTGATATCTGAATCTGGTGGTGATGTTTCAATGGTTGCTTCTTCTTATGCTACTGCCAATCGTGCGAGGCGCAAGGTCGTAGGTGAGATAGCGACACCAATTCAAAACACCTGGCAGCCACCCAAACTCCTCATTCTGCACTGGGATAGAAAGTTG